GTGCTTGAAAAAAAAAAAAAAAAAAAAAAAATGATGGATAGAAATGCTCACAACAAGTGAAAATTGTACTCTACAATGTACGCCTGTGATGAGAATCTTTACCAAGTACAATACAACCGAGCGCACATGGGTAATGCAAAGAAAATTAGGCAAAATCATAATTAAGAACAGAAAAGTACTAGAATACATGCACTCGTACAAGAATATTTGGAAAGATCACCATGAAAAAGGACTTGCTCCTAGCAGGAATATTTCGTTCTCAACATCTTTCACCCATTGGCAAACCCGATTGCATACATTAATAGCAAGAGCCTGCAAACAGTAGCCAAGATTCATGATATTCATATGGAAACTCGTGTTTGTGCAAATTCTGTTAAGTGCAATGGTGAAGGTAGATAATTGCCAAGATCGAACCTTGTCTGCAAGGATATCAAAAGCAGCATACAGTTCAAAATCTTGTGTGACCCAGCAAAGTAGCACTGGACATTAAAAGACTAGTTATGAATATCACCAGCAGAAAATAAATGTCTACGAAAACTTATTCACCACAATTAAAATGTACAAACAACCCGAAAAAAACACATTACAAGGCGAAATGGATAGTAGAAAGGATTCAGAACATATATCATGAAATTGTATAGCAGCAAAAGGTGCTAGCTATGATTATGATAAAAAAAATCCACAAATATTTGGGGATAATTTATGAAACCCATTAAATCTGGGAGAAATATGCTCCCAGATTAAAAATATCCTTTTAACTATGGGAAAATTAACAAGATGCATCGACATGTGACTCAGTTTTCAAGTTTGAATAGTCCTTAAAGTTTGAAAGCATCAAATAGAGAGGAAAGGATTACCATAATTTTCGTCCCTTCTAAACTGGGTTTTGTGAGGCCCTATTCCTTTATCATGCATGGATATATAAAGTTTCTGATAGGCCCTATATAATCTGCAAAATATAAAGCCTTTGTTTACTGTCCAGTAGCAAAATCAAGTCACCAGATATTCTTTATGACGGATAATTAGCATTATCCCCCCCAAATTTTCCAAGTTACCGTTTTTGCTGTCTCAAGCTGTTGATTGGCAATGAAAATTCAGACGACACATATTGGTCAAGATATATACTTCTATACATAAAATGACAGAGTCCCGCAGGACCACCAAATCCATCTGCACCTCTCCCTAGGGAATCTGTTGCTAGTCTCGGTTGACCGAGATGAGAAGATATGGTGCCTGGACGAGCGGTGGGGTCCATAAGTAGATCCTCAATATGCATACCACCGTCTACCAAGGATCTTTGAACTTCGATTAACACATTTGACTCCACGAGTACATTTTCAATCCGAATCCTATGAGATTTGTAGAAACAATATATTGAGGGGCAATCTGAACATAACAATATTTGATCTTATAGTTACTAATATTTAAAATTACCTGCTGGCTTTTAAATGATAGAAGGCATCTGGACTTGTTGTAAGCAATACCAGGTATGTATCAATCTGTGATAAGATTCAGTAGTTGTCACTATCAGCCGATCCAAATAACTGAAACCTAGGACTTCTAGCAAATCCACAATCTACATTATTGACCCATTGGATAAGATATTTCCTTTCAGAAATGCTAGATTGTTTCTTCAGATATTTGCGCTCCAAATTTGAGATGACTTACATCAAAATAGTGCACATAAGCATAAAGGAACGCCATGGGGTTGTATCTTGGCAGGCAAATTGGAGAGAAGGATTCAGATGTTCTGCAGAAAATTGAGAAATTACAAACTGTATATTTGAAAATAGGAAGTAATATACTTCAATAAAGTAACAGCAAAAGGGTGTCTTCTCTATTGTTATTTGTAATGATTTCCTCTTCAAGAAAGTGCCACACATGCTTAGGAGAAGGCAAAACCAAATAAATACTTTATACAATTTATTTATTTTTCTTGAGAAAATTGTCCTACTCATAATGGATGGGAAGAAGACTGCTTGACATAGAACACTTACGAAGCATAATAACTAGCACCTCGTACAATTTTTTTATTATTTGATCTGTATAATGTCAACAAGAGATGAGATACAGAGCAGAGGTGACTGTCTAGATGGAAACAGGATACTTAACAACCAGGCAAATGCAAACAATCATGTAGTGATCAACAGCTCCACACAAAATGCAGGCACGAAAGATAAAGCAATTCAATAGAAGAAATAGAAATATATATGGAAAAACCAACGAAGGTTTAGTGCAGATTATTTCACACATTACAATGGCGAAGGAGGTCGAGAGCGAAAGACCTACTAATACTCCAGATTTGCCTCTTCTAGAAGAGGCGTTTGGTATTAAATCTGATATTCAAGAAATTTTTGGGTGTACTGAGATCTAATAGTTCTGATTCTTTAAATCCACCCCCACCCTAGCCCGCAAACCCACAACAGTGTCTTTTATAAACAACACAGCACATTTCCGTGCACATTCAACAGATGGGTCACGACTCGAGCAAAATAGATTAACCATTTATGTACCTTGTTCATAGATCAAAGATGACTGTAAGTTAAGGGGAATCTAAGTGAACTTACTTAAAAGACTCAGAAGACATAATAAAATTGGAGAGCAACAGTATATCATCCGGATGCAGAGATGCTTTCTGGGCGCCAACCAGACTGATAACCTGCATGCATTTCAATTTATGGCATTAATTATCCATCAGAAAACTATAGCTAAGGGAGCTGATAAGCTAGCTTGAAACTTATAAGTAATTTTCGAGCTTATAGCTTATGACATATAGCTGAAAAGCTAGTTTATACGATAAAAATGTTTGGTAAAATAAGCTGATAAGCTAAGCTAAAATAAAAATTTCAACTAGCTTATTTTAAAAGCTACCAAAGTAGCTTATGAGATAAGCTTGAGCTTTTTGAAAAAGCTCGTCCTATCAAACGAAGCTTATTTAAATACAGAAAGCTTATAAGTTAACCAAACAAGCTATAAGCTAGCTTATTTATCTACCAAACACAGCCGTTATACCCAGTGATTTCAATTAAATTAACACTCTTTTGACCTACTGACCATATTATAAAACAAGGAATATAGTCATTTTGGACACGGACCAGCAAGTTGCAAAAATGAAATATTTTCTGTTTTGTCTGGTTTATCAAGATTTATTTCATTGAGATTGAAATAGGAACAAAAAAAAATCATAAAAAATACTATTTCATTTTTTTTTTTCTACAATCCCACTAACACAAATAAAAAATTAAAACTAATCATCATTATATATTTTCCATCTAAATACTATTCACTCACTCACATGTTTCTAACTAATCAATCAATATTTTATTGCTTTTACATACATTAGCTCTAATTTTCTTACATTAATACATTTTATCCTTTATCCATTCAGGCATTCACAGTCTCAAACCTATTTAACTTTTTCTAGAATCATTTTTTTTCCACTTTTTCATTTCTATTTTCGAACGAGACTTTTAAAGAAATTTCTATATCCAATTAAGCTCCATTGGATATGGAAATTATTTGTTTTTGTCTGTTCGATCAAGATTTATCTCATTCAACTGAAAAAGGAAATAAATATTTCATCTTACTTACTATTTATTTCATCTCACTTTTGTCTATACAATTCAACTAACCCAATTAAAAAATAAAAAGTCATCAGCATTATTTATTTTCCATCATGTCAATAATATTTATCCACTTACATAATTCTAACTACCCATTTTATCAAATCAATATTTTATTATTTATATCATATCAACTTTTTTCGTCTTTTCATCTCACTTTTTCGGATGAGACAAATGTTTTTGGAAAAATCTCATATCCACTCGTGTAGTGTCTCACAAAAATTAAAATTAACATAAAGAAAATATTATGACATTGGTCAGCCTGAGATACATGAAGCAATACAAGATTAATCTATATCAAACTACTCTGCTGATTACAGATAATGCAAACTATCTACCCAATAGTTCAAGTTTTTAGTGCATCATCCTAGTTACCAGTTACACAACTGTGCGAAACAATTTACCTTGTGTTTACACATTAAGAGGGAAAACAGGACCCCTGAACCAGCGACATCTTGCAAGATGGCACCTGCAGCTTGGCGTGTCGCATAAGCCAGGGGAAGACATGAGTAAGCATGAAGAAAAGTGGCAGGATTCCTACAATTAGAACAGCACGCTTTCTAGTTAAGAAGTTATAAGCTAAATCGGGCAAACACAAAACTAAATCGCTAATACGAGCTAAACTACGTGCTATAAGCATTTTAGATATAATAATATTTGAGCTACCAGATTATCAGTAGCTGAGATGAGCTTTATTACATGTTCAAAGGTGATAACTCATTGTTTTCTCTTACTTAATATAAGGTCATTAATTCATCATCTCGTTTACATCAGTGACCTCCTCAATATCTAAAACATATAAATAGATAGATACTAGTTAAAACAATTTGTTATAATTTTAGAAATCCATATGTCGAAGACGCTTCCAACAGTGCTCAATTGCATCAAACAATGGGATTTAACAATTAGAGACGGGGTGATCAAACACATTCATCAATCTGGTGCATTGCATTGTTTAGGATAAACAACACGGAGCAAAACGAATTTTCATGAGTTTTCTAAAACAACCAGCTTTGAAAAATGAAATGCATATGTTCCTTCAAACTACAATACCTCCACATCAATCATAAACAGTAATTACATGTGTAACCAAGTACACTAATATATATACATCTACAAATCTTACTTCAATTTTTTTTTAATAAAAAGTTTCCAGCTATCCAGTTACTACCACAAGCTCTACTTCATAATGATTTAATTTAATATTTATACTACCCATAGAGGTCAAGCAATATCAGTCATACACCTTGGATGACGTGAAAATAATAGAGAAAAAAACATAAACAAATAAGACAGCTAATATGACACCAGATTTTTCAACAGTCGTGGAGCATGAGAAATACCAACTGAAAGAATGGATGAGAGAGGAGAAGACCACATCCGTTCCTCCAAGCAGTGAAGTCATATCGAATTTGGGATTCCTCTCAAAGCATCGATTAACAGATTTTGTTAGGATAAGTATCATCTACGGGAAGACAGAAACCATATATGAAAGGGGTCATTTAAAAGCAATTGATCAACAACAATGGGGACAAAATCAACAAACAAAAATTGCCAAGATGCCAGGAATAAGATACCTGACCATAGAGGAGCTCCAGCTGTCCCCTTAATGATTCATAAGGCTCTTCTGTGCAACTTATGCAGACCAAGTAAATCGGTCCTTTAACAAGAAAAACGACCTGAACTTAAAAAATTTCACATCAATGAATATGGAATTTTACTGTCAAGAACTGAACTGTATATACATTTTACAAGAAAGAGAAGGGAACAGACACATTTCTCATTATTTCAAAAGTCATATACCACATCCAAGTTTCTACTAGGACAACTGACTCGGGACAAAGGAATTTCTAATATATACATCGACATAAACGTGTTGTAAAATTCAATCAATTTTCGGAATGGTTTAACTATAGCTTTAAATGGTCAATGGCACTCCGAGGGGATTCGCCCATGAATGGCCACGAGGCAAGAGGTGAGGTCTCGGCAACACAAGGTCAAACCATAAAAGAAAATATAGATGGTGCAGTTGTACTTCAAATGACAAAATAAACCTTCAATATCCAATGAACAAACATTAGAACCAAAACACACACACACACACACACACAAAAAGAAGAAGAAGAAGAAGAAGAAGAAGAAGAAGAAGCACGACATTAGAAACATAACATACAATTAAAGAAAATAGAAGGCAAAAAATTAAAATTAAAATAAAAAAACAGAAAATAAACGAGAAAATAAATTTAAACAGAAGTAAAACCAGAAAAGACCGCTCATTCTTACTCCAGTAGTTCTTGCCTTTACATTAAACATGTACTATTAAAATGAATTGGTCTATCAGCTATTTAATTAATAAATCTTTTGGATATAATTTAAACTTTATTTATCGCAGAGTCAAGATGATTATTTGACTTATTAGTATGAATCCAGCAAGGAGTTAGGCCCATATAGTGTCGAGCCACTACAGGGGAATATTGATCTACCTATAGACCAGATCCCATCTCGCCATGGTGACGCCATTTAAAACTACGGGTTTTACAGAACGAACTACATAGCACAGCAAGAAGTATACCAAGAAGTAGAACATAAAGAAAAACCGAACCGGTTGCATCATATATTATTTCATGGTTTGAATTATTATTTATAGAGATAGTTAAAATACTATAATGGAGTAGTATTGTGCTTAACACGGTTATTATGACTTCTTAACAAAACCACCAACCCAAGCATAACAAAACTTTTGCTATCACATGGAAGTGAACAACAGATGCAGCTTGTGGGTATGGTTTCTAGAAAACTTAACCTAATTGTACAATGTACATGCAGAATAGACGTGGTCCAATCATGCTTATGTTCCTATTTCACACAAGCTAACATATAGCAGCTCCCAAACCTTCTTCCCAAGAAACAATACGCATTATTACTAAGTGAGAGGTGCATATGTATCTTTTTAAAATAAAAGTTCAACAAAATAATCAACCTGGTGATTACCAGCGCGCACCAATTTGACCCGGTCACCCCTGCAAAATTATCCAGCCATAAAGGACATGGAAAATGCAGCTGAAATTTACTAAAAAAGGGAACCCAACAACAGCCTCATGAGAAACTCACCCATTTTCGACAAAGGAAATTATGGCTTGCAAAGTTGCAGAGAACCCAGCTAGCTTGTGCTCATCTCCATATCTACAGTTCAATAGCACAACTGCACATGAGATACCCTTCGTACATTGCTATCGAATAAAATACAGCACATTAATATAATTATCTTTGAGCTCGCACACAAACCTCGAATAAATGGGTTTTCCTGAGTTACTCAAGATAAAGAAGTGTTTCTTCCTTTTCCTCCAAGAAACTGAAGCATCATCCTGCAACTCAGTCATTAATTTAACAGCACATCGGGGCAGGTACTACAGACTCAAGCCAATCTAAATATATGGCAACTTTATGTCGGTTAATAAATATTATTATCTCCTTACCAAAAGAACTGAAACTTAGATATTATTCCAAGGCACAGTAAGAATACCAATAACTAATGCAGCTTCCGTTGCCAATGATGATCCCAAAGCTAAAATACCCATCTATAAGAATGAAACAAGTAAAATGCAAGGAACGATTTGTCCAGCTAACCTCATCAGGATAACGTTTCCCAGAAACCCACTGTGCATGGGACACCAAATCCCCACCATTTTGCACCTCGAGAATCTCATTACTATCTTCGTCATCATCATTGATTTCATCACCCCCACTGGTGCTGCCCCTCTCGCCCGCATAGCCGCTGCTGCTCGGACTCAAAGGCCGCTCGAGTTCTTCTGCCTCCAAAACATTTCTCCAGACAGAGTAAGAAGGGCTCTCGTCATTCTCCCCTGAAGGCTCTGCCTTCCAATTACTTTCAGTAAGTTCATCTTTAGCTGCTCCTTCCGTCCTAATATCTTCATTCAATGGTCCATTTCCCATTTTAAGTTGCAGCTCCAATCGCGCTTGTTCTACCTCTTCCTCCACTGCGTCGTCATCGTCAAGCGTCGCCGTTGGGGAACGAGAGGACATCGAGATTGAGGCCAATTGGCTTTCAAGCGCGTCGAGAGATTGGTCAATGGAACCCGTATTCGGGTTTGAAACCGGGCTCGGATCGGAATTAGGGTTTCGATCATCCCCATCGGAGGAGAAACTGGAAGATGAAAAATTCGGATCCGAGGGCATTGTTAATCAGATGTACAAAAAATTCGGATCCGAGGGCATTGTTAATCAGATGTACAACCCGAAACAAGGTAAAAATTGGAGTTCAGGTTGTGAACAAATCAGAGTTTAATCAAACTTCGCGTCCGCACGCGAACACCATTTGAGGTTACTGGTGACACGCATCAACCAGTCTGGGATGGCGGTGAAAGACAAAGCACAGGACGACGTCGTATGTGTGAATAATTGGTGGGAGTTTATTATCTCCGTCCCTTTTAAAAATAAATTTTCAGTTAAAAATCAAAGTACTTACTAAAGTAAACGTCATGTCATTAATAATTAATATATTAATAACCATAATGAAAAAAATCTATATAATATTGAACACTTCTTTATGGACAATGTTCATGGTTTGATTCTTTGGCATGTCATTATCGCCACAAATTAGGATTTTCAAATCTTTTTTGTTTGTGACACGTAAGACAGCTACATACAAATGGCCATGACTAAACGCTGATTTCTTAAGAAATAAGCCCACATGAGATAACGATTGTCTCTGGCTCTTATTTATAGTCATGGCGTAAGAGACCATAATGGGAAACTGACGATGTTGTAACTTGAAAGGAATTATAACATCAGAAGGAGTTATAGATTCTTAAAATCAACACTTTATCACCTGCATGATCGCCAGTGAGTATCTTACGCTCGAGAACATGAGTGGAGAGCTTTGTCACTATCAATCGTGTCTCATTACACAGACCCATAGAATGGTCCATGTTTGTCCCATTTTTGTGTCTTATTTCATGTTTATTTTCTTTTTGTTTTCCCCCATATGTAGGTTTCTCGTAGTTTATTTGGTCCATTTCGCTCGTTTTGTGTTTTTCTCCTTAGTTTCTTCTTGTGTGTCTTTTTGTCGTGTTTTGCTTCGTGTTTTTCCTTGTTTTCGTGTTTTCAGGAGATAGGTTGTGCCGGTCGAGGTTGGGACTGCTTGAGCCGAGGCTGTGATATCGAGAATACTCGTTGCCGAGCCCAGAAGACTCGAGGAAGGACTGAAAAAACAGATAGAAACAGTTCCCAGAAAACTTCGCGACTCGCGAGTCGTCTCGCGACTCGCTACTCGGGTCGCGACTCGCGAACATGTCGCGACCCGCGGGAAAAACTGAGGCTTGATGTGCAGTTCACGAGACGGAGTCGCGACTCGCGAGATGCTGTCGCGACTCGCGACTTATGTCGCGACCAGCCTAGAAGTTTAACATTTTGACGACGCGCGACTCACGAGGATGTCGCGACTCGCGACCGAGGAAAAGACTATCTCGCGACTCACGACTTAAGTCGCGACTTATCCGGCGCGAATTTCGAGGACGGGATTTTTAGAGCAGATTTCGATCCTAGGGTTCATAATTCGACTTCCAGACTTTATTTTTACGTTTTTTCTCTCTAGAAACTCATTCCTTTCCGTACTTTTGCACTTTTGATCTGTTTTGGAGATTGAAAAACTCCTCTTCTTTGCTTTGGATTTGGATGCACTTGGATTTGACATTGGATTCTTATCATTAATCATAAGTTATTTTTCTCAATTGTTTTATTGATGATGATGGCTTGTGTTTGTCTCATTTTTGTTGCATTTTTTCTTGTTATTTTTTTTTCTTTTTCCCCCATATTAGGTCTTTTAGTTAGTTTTTATCTCATTTTGTAGTTTATTGCGTGTTTTCTTCTATCTTGGTTTTTCTTGTGTTTTTCGTATGTTTTTTCGGTTTTTCTTCGTTTATGGTGTGTAGGTCGAAAGCTTCGGGAGAATTTATTTTTCATGATAAGTGGGCCGGGTAAACATCATTAAATAGATGGGTTCGTTGGCTACAAGTAGGAAAAAGCGAAATTCGATTTTGAGTTCGGACGAGTCCGGACGGGCCTGATATGTGAAGTCGTGCACGGAAGCCGTCACCTTCAAGTCAAAAGCTTTGAGAGAATAGATTTTCAAGAATAAGTTGGATTTAAAAGCACAATTGCGTAGAAGGCTTTGTTAGCGACGCATAGGAAAAAACGGAACTCAATTCTGAGTTCGGACGAGCCCAAACAAGCCCAAAACGCAAAAGTTGCGCAGCCGAGCCAGCAGCCCCGCGCACAGCGGCGCGGCAACCCCTCCGCGGCGCGACACCAGCACTTCTTCACGGCGCGAAACCCCTCCGCGGCGCGGCACAGATGTTCTTCACGCCGCGGCACATCCCGTGGCGTTCATCACGTGCAAACAAAGACGCCCCAAGCCTGCCCCTCCACGCCGCGGCATAGCACCACGCCGCGGTGCACAGCTCCCTCACGCCACGGCACATGTTCTCCACGCCGTGATACCTGTTACCTATATATTTGTGCGGGACTCGATCAGAAAAGGGAATTCGACCCTCTTGGGTGAAAACCCTAGGATCAGGAAAAACACCGAACACTCCTATCCTCTCCTTTCCTTCTTCTTCCTCATTGTTTTCTTCGTTCTTTTCACTTTTCTTTTCCATTTTTCTTCTTCTTCTTCTTAGTTATCAAGGATTAAGCTTTGTACTTTGGGATTCAACACTTGGACTAAAATAAATTGTAAGTTTCTTTTCACTTTGAATTAATTCATGAATAATGATTGATTTGGGAGAGATGACTATTGGTGTTGAATTTATTTTACATAGCTAATTCTTATTGCTAGGGATAGGGGATAATTATTCATGTTTCACGTGCATTTGTCGGGCTTGATTTGTTCATGCTTATGTGAGTTGATATAATTTGGAATTGATGAATTCTTGCTTGATAGTTTGATATAATCGAAGGGTGACACTTCGATCTTGCGGTTGGAAACAATTGAATATTGATTGTCGAGTTAGGTTTTGTCGATTCTATATGATTAGTTGATTAAACACCTTCTAATTTAATTAGCAACTTTTAGAACCGAAAGGGGAGAAGTCGTAGACCTAGGCTTGCATGAATAGATAATTTCGTAACTGAATAATCTATGGGTTGAGATTGAAATACGTGCTTGTCAATGACCCGTCCCTTGTTACGAAAAGTTATTGGGATTGGGATAATTGGCCTGTGTTGTATGCTTGAGCTTGTTCGTCTATGTTCAATCCCTTGTTACGAAGAGTTATTGGGAGCGAACCGCTAGATGTTTAAGCGAGAGTGTCAATCTCGAACCGAACAATTGATTTCCCGTTTTTGCTAAGAACTTGAATAAATTATCCCCGATTTCCTGGCAACCCATCTTTGTTTCGTTCTTTCATTTTTAGGTAGATTATTGTTTTATTTTATTTCTCAGTTAATAATTCATCAAAACCCCTATCTGATTAGAGTGTTTAGGATTTATTTTCTTTTTCTGTGTTATCGATACCAAAGCTAAATTCCGAACCGCCTTCCTCGAGAGATCGACCCGAGAAACGAATCATTGATTCGGTACTCGGTGAAATATAACAATTTGTACACAACAGCTTGGGTTTGTATGAATTTTGATGTTGAATTTCATATGAGTAGCTAAATCCATTCGCTTGGGAAAAGGCAGTGCAATAATATAATGTTGGTGGTCCATTAATATTATTTAATTAATTAGAGGAGTGGGCTTGGCCCACAGTTAGTCTAATTAATTAAGGAGCCATTTTTCTAATCTCTTAAGGATCCCACTGTAGTTCTATATATACATCATTAAGCTCATGAGAAGAGAACAGAAATCTCATTCACACGAGATACACGCCTCACACGCCTCTCTCTCTCTCTCTCTCTCTCTCTCTAGATCTCATTCAAGCTTTATCTTCTTCTTGTTGCTCCACTGGTACAAGTTGAAGAAGGGTGTATTGAGTAATACAGTAGAAGATCTATAGGTAAATCGAGACGAAATATATTTTGACCTACAGAACTAACCGGAGGTCTGATTGGGACGCACAGCTTACCCAGACGACCGTCTCAACGAGAGCTTTCCATCGCCGCCGAGATCGCCGCCGTCCGATGCCGCACGCGCCATCACGCGCCGCCGGAATCTCCCAGACTGCAAAGTTCGTCTTCATCTATTTGCACCCGTTTGATCCGGTTTTAATCTGATCTTGTACGTGCAACCCAAGACGTGATTTTCGGTCAATCATTTGCGGTCAACCGTTCGTGGTCAACCAGATCTACATAAATTTTAAGCTGTAAGTTCTCTACGTCAAACCTTTAGATCTGCTGCGCATAGGTTTACGTTTGCTATTGAATTCGTGACTTGTACATAACGAGATCCTCACAGATCCCAACAATATCTTCATTACATATAACTTACACTTACATTTTCACTTTTGTGCACGTCATACCTTCTTATTCATGCATAATTGTTTTCATGCAGCGTGAAACTTGCACCGAGCTAGTGGAGCATCTCGTTATGTCCCACATATACGCTTATTATTCATGTATACATTCGTGGTGGGAGGCGGTGTTAGACAACGTCATCCACTTAGCCGAGCTAATGGAGCATCTCGTTATGTCCCAAGAGCTACATCATCGGTTGTTGCACAACTGCAAACCCCTATGGCAAACGTAGGAACTCCTGTTAGAATATCACTTGTGAGTTGTCCCACATCGTTCATATATGAAAAATAGACCCACCTTATAAGACTAATGGGCTACTCCTCCTTCCACCAATTGGTTTTGGGATGGAACCCCATTTGGGCTTCATATGGGTTTTTCCCTTTTTCATGGTGTCCTTCATGGTAGTGATCCAGCACCCATTTTCCCCCAGTTTCTGTCATGGTACCAGAGCCAGGGTGTTTAACACTTGATGATGTAAATAAGCCTTGTAATTGAATGTTAAAACACTTTGCATCCATTTTCTTGTGCATGTTTAGTTCCACTGAGTTGTAAGATCAAGTATCACATCCTCCATTACTTAAAAGCTCTATCATGAATGAACTTATATGTAAAATCCAAGCACTAATTAATAATGGCTAAGGTACACCAATCTTGTAGTGTAAATAAGATTCCCAAACCAAGTTTTAATAAATTAATCGAACACTAGCCCAATTAAACCAATCAAAACAATGCAAGTTGATATACAATATCCTGTTGACTCCAAGATGTATAAACAATATTTTAATAAATTAAACAAACAGTTTCACAACCGAGATCGAACTGTGCAAGTTAGTGCACTAGTAATTGACCATCTCGACCTATTCAAACTATGAATTTTAAAAATATAAGATCACCACATAAGATTAGTGTTGAAAGTATCATAAATCATGACTAATGAGAAACCATACACTTCTTATATTAATAGTAACCATAATGCAATTCAAATTATCAATGTGAGAACTAAACAATAAATACTAAAATATGTATTATCTGATATAACATTAACCAATCAGTCTTAAGTGTAATACTTCTTTGAGTGAAGAGTGTTAATGGTTGAGGTAACAAAATATCAACCTAGTTCTAGAGCTCAGGCACAACACCTAGTATAGGAGCCTTCATAGTTGAGCTCCAGTTTTCTCATATATTTCCATGCAAAATATCCAAATCGTGCTAGATCTGACTTCGAACCACCTCAGATGCACCTTCTATCATGTTGCGGTTTGTTCTCGAATTTCATCAATGATATCAAGGTTTTCATGAATTAATACACTATTGACCCATTATATAAACCAAGACACATGTTGTGAGATTATTTCAGTCTCCTCAAGAATTAAAGCTTCCAACATATATACTAGGCTGAAATGTGATTCACTCATCTGATTGGGATGCAGTTTGATAAGTCCACACTTGTCAACCCATGCCATTGAGACCATTTCTACTTAAAAAAAATATAAAAAAAAAAAAAACTGCAAAAGCATATGGTTGGCATTCTCAACCTGACATTGTCCTCACATTAAAACGATCACCACAACATTTCTCGTGGATTCCTCGAAGGGATTTGCTTTCTCTATCGGACACTATGTATGACCTCTTTTACAACATAGTGACACGCCGTCTTAGATAAATATTCGAAGGAGCTAGTGAGCTATTTTTTTGTAACATGCTTATACCCAAGTAATACTTTCATTTTTCAATAATTAACAATAAATATTTTGTTATTTTATCTAATTATTCATTTTTTTTAAAATATTTTTTCATTCACAAATCGCAAAACTAGATGGACGTTTTTTTCTTTGAGGAAATTGCACCCTGCACGATACATATAATTTTTTATTACATAAATAATGTCCCCTTATAAGTATTAGCAAATTGACTAAATCTATAGATTTTATTTGCAAAAATATCACATATCAGGAAAATAATTAATTTGCTAATGCAATCAAGATTCTGCGTGATTAATGGTGAAATCTTATCACCTTCCAAATAACTTCTTCCGATGTAATTAGTAAGAAAGTAACCTCTCTCTACACGCCCCCGCTTCAAGCTCATACGGAAACCAAAAGAAACACCAAAATTTTTTTTATGTCGATGTCGATGTCGGAGCCAGGAGAAACATCAGAAATTGTTACTAAAAATTGCTCGAATTTTCGATGACGTCCGACACGCCACCCACAACCGGAAGCTCAAGGAACTCGCCGCCCTCCGCTCGTCCTCGCCTCTACCGGAATTCTGCGCGGCGTTCTGCAAAGCCCTAGTGCCGTTTTTCATCTTCCAGCGTCGTACGTCTCCAGCCGAGCGCATCATCAAGTTTCACGTCCGTGTTTGACTGCTCGCGTGGCGATCGTGACTTGGACGTCGGAGGTGGGTGGGGGAGGGGCGATCAACGTCGAGGACGACGGAGGAGGCGGAGTCGTCTTCATCGTGATTGGAGAATTCCTATCGTCGAGGAGGTCCTCGTCTTCATTGAAGTGGTCAGGGACTCAGGGACGGCGGAGTTATCAGCGGAGGCCATAAGAGAATTTGGTGGTTAGGTTTTAGTTGAGCAGAAGACCAGACGAGACGATATATATGTTGTATATATATAGTATATTTTTACTTTTTTTTTGTTGTTGTATAGTTCCATGTATATATGTAGTATGAAAGATTTGAATTGACAATTATAATGCTCGGCATGGTCATAGGTATATATGTTGTATATTTTTCGTATATATAATGTTTATTGATTGTGTTGTTTTTGCACGGGCTGAGTCTGGGTGAAAGATTTGAATTGAAAATCATAAGAATCGGTATGATATACTTTTGTATATATACTATTTATTGATTGTGTTGTTCTTTCATAACATTTATAGAATATGTTTGTGGTATATATTCTATATATATGTAGTATATTTATCCGAAAATAATTATTCGGCTGATGGATATGACCAAAAATATCCAAAAGATGATACCAATCAAATTCTCTATTTTTTCGCAATCTAATCTATGTGAAACATGGTTTTGTTGCTTACCATCTGAGAGAAAATTCTTACCATGAAAGAGAAATTAGTTTAATTGTTGTCAGTTACGGAAATCAAGCAAAAGAAACTGATAATATACATGTTCCTAATTATTTGCTCAAGATATGGTAACAGTGCAATTTTTTTCTCTTACATCGTACACATGCAATTATTTATAAATCACAAATGCAAGAATGTAAATGACCCTTTTACTTTTGAGGAAATTACATCCTCCACTTAAATAATTTAAAAATATTACATAAATACATTCCCTATATAATTATTTACAAATTAACTAAATTTGTTATATTTATTTGCATATATACCTAAAAAACTGATTTCCTATTTACATGGTAAATTTCAATTCATATTTATACACGGTTACTTCCCATTTTCAATTCACAAGTAGGGCCCACCACCAATCCGTGCGTTCCAAAATTCCCCAAAGCCAATCGTCGCGATCCCCAATGGAGAGCTTGGCCACGGAACCCCACCACCGCCGCGACAACCTCGCTACCTACGACTCCGCCCACCCGATCTACGCCATGGCGATCTCCGCCGCCGACCCCCACCGCGTCGCCGTCGGCAGCTTCCTCGAGGAGCTCGGCAACCGCGTCAACGTCCTCACCTTCTCCGACGACCGCCCCGCCGTCGCCTCCATCTCCCTCTCTTCCCCCGCCCTCTCCTTCGACCACCCCTACCCTCCGACGAAGCTCCTCTTCCACCACTCCCCCTCCGCCCCCGCCAGCCTCCTTGTCTCCTCCAGCAAAGGTTGTCATATACCTATTAGATGAGCATTTGTTTTGAAATTAAATCAGTTGAGGGATTAAAGGAGTAATGATGGTGCCAAGGAATTTTATGTAGGAACATTACTGAAATATCCGAACTATTTCCATGCCAATTTTTTGGTTCTGGAAAGGGTGTGCTTGTTGCCGTGCTGAAAAATCTTTGTATGATAATCTCTTATAAGAGTATTGCTTAATGGTGTGAGGGTTACAGAGCCAAATTGGTGAGAACCTAACACTTGGACTTGATTCAATTTTTTAAGTATATGTATAGTATTTCTACAGTATATGTATAGTATATATTTATGACAATATGTTCAGCAATTTTTATTGCGTGTATAGGTAGGCAATATATGTAGTGTCTCTCGGACCTTCAGGTCATTACGGTGAAAAAGTGCGGTGGGAAAAGAGTTCACTTTTCACGTTGAAGATGAAACCGCAGTAGATGATTCGGAAGGAAAGTTTTGACAGTATATGTTGTGTATATAGACAGTATATTTGCAAGATCCAGATTATCGACGGTATATGTTGTGTATATAGACAGTATATTTGCAAGATCCAGATTATCGACGGTATATGTTGTGTATATAGGCAGTATATTTTTAGTATATGTTTTTGTAGATAGAATCACATATATGTTTAGTTTATAAAACATGTTAATGCAAGATTTAGGTTTCCCGTGTTCATTACAATTGTCTATTGTGGTTATAGTTAGTATATTTTTAGTATATATATTGTGTTTTTTTGTACAAGACGGATATCGAAACATTTTTCCGTATATGTTGTGGGTATAGTTAGTATATTTTTAGTATATATTGCGTTTTTTTTGTACATAACATGTAATAATTCGATTTATACTTGGTTTATAATCTATAACAATTTATATAACATATAAGTATATATATATGTATATATATTTATATAAAGAGTTTTCTATTTTTTATTTTCTTATTGAATATGCTATCACAATATAAATAATTTTATTAATTTTTAATTAGTATTAATAGATAATTTATCGGCTACTTACTCTCCAAATTATGGTAACAATAATCTCACATTAAAGCAAATAATATGCACTGATTTCGTAGGGGTGTAAATATTTTATCTTTAATAGTAAGTTTGCAATTATTTGTAAATCAAGTAGGATGTGTGTTCCCATTACTTTTAACCTTTCCATCCCTAACTCTTATTTTTTCAACTTCCAAACCATAAGCCCAATCCATGAGCCCAATGTATACATGCGACTGGCAAATGGCCCAAATTCATATTGACGTTCTTCACAATCTCTAAACCCTACACATTTCTCCTTATCATTTTCCATTATCCTCCCTTTTTCAACCTTACACTCCCAAAACCGACCTCAACACAACAACTATGCCGCCAAAGTTCGATCCCACTCAGGTCGTCGACGTTTTCGTCCGCGTCACCGGCGGAGAGGTCGGCGCCGCCAGCTCCCTCGCCCCTAAGATTGGTCCCCTCGGTCTCTCCCCAAAGAAGATCGGCGAGGACATCGCCAAGGAGACAGCCAAGGACTGGAAGGGCCTCCGCGTCACCGTCAAGCTTACCGTCCAGAACCGTCAGGCCAAGGTCACCGTCGTCCCCTCCGCCGCCGCTCTGGTCATCAAGGCACTCAAGGAGCCGGAGCGCGACCGTAAGAAGACGAAAAACATCAAGCACAACGGTAACATCTCCCTCGACGACGTAATCGAGATCGCTAAGGTCATGAGGCCGCGATCGATGGCCAAGGATCTTTCCGGCACAGTCAAGGAGATCCTCGGTACGTGCGTGTCGGTCGGGTGCACTGTGGACGGGAAGGATCCCAAGGATTTGCAGCAGGAGATCGCCGATGGGGATGTGGAGATTCCCCTGGATTGAGCGGTAGTTAAGTGTTAAATTTTAATTTGCCTTCCGACATTAATTTTGTTATTTATCGTTCTCTATTTACAAATGGCTTTGAGGAAGAACCTTGCACGAGGATTTTCTCGTTTTGTGGTGCGAGATTTACCTCTGAGATGAAATGTCTGTTAATGGTTAGTTAAGTACAGTGTATCTATCGCCTTGTGGTGGTAGAGTTTGGCGCACCTAATTACTCAAATCCATGTTTCTTGTGAATTGTGACTTGGGGTTTTAGCTTTTTGCAATAGAATGGTTGGATAATTGAAGGGTTTATGGTGTGAGAGAGATAAATACTTATTATCCTTTTGTGAGAATTCTTGCATGACAAGTTGCCCTTTGAGGCGTCTTCTCATTTCTTGAACTGGAGGCTTAAGTTGTCTGCAGCAAAAACATGTCTTAATTATTTGGCTGTTGATAGGGGTACCAAATAGAACGATTGTAGGTGCTTGATGCGTGTAGAACTGGGAGAACGAGTCAGGCTCTTTTGAGTAATGGGGAAGTTTGCCAAACTATGTCATCTTATGAAGGCAGCTAAACCCAAAGTGGTTTAGTAGTTTTTGTTTTGTTTTGTATTGTCATTTTCTAATCTTTCATTTAAGCATTTGAACCGTGGTGTCTTCTGAAGTTCCTATTTTTATTTTTCTGGTGAATCATTTTAGTATATGTGCTTGTACTTTGGCTATGCCTCATTTTTTATAAACAGTAAATGTGAGTTATACTGATTTTATTTATTTTTAGTTGAGGTTCGCATGTTCTATAAATTGATATGATCAATTCAGGCGTGTGCCATTGCAGTATGGTGGGGCAGACTTCTGCTAACCGCCATGATCGAATATGCTTGTACTCTGTATTTTCTCGACTTTGATCGAGTGCTGTTTGTAAACATAGTTGGGCTTTGGGGGTCTTTTACGTGGTATTATTTATTGAACAAATGGCAGTAACCGAGTGTAATATTGGAGGATGTCATGCCTCTAGCCTCAAGGCTGTAGGCAGCCCTCCTTTGTAAGTATGATACATGCCATATTGTTCTTGAATATTAGAGTAGCAATGGGTATAGATGGTGAATTTGCATGATGAAAATTTGTGTAGTTGAGGGGTAAAGCAGGACAAAAGGTCTTTTTGTTGGTAATGTCTTAATCCAGAAATGTGTTGTGGGTGGTATAAAGAAGTTTTCCTTCATTATGGATTTGTTTAGTATAAAATTTAACCGTTTCCTTGCAAACACTCAATAGCGCAGTAATTTGATGAAATTCTGGAAATCGTGCACACAAATGAAAATCGAACGGATTGAGTCGTGAGAATCCAAGGTTTGGTACCCCATTTGTGGGTTTTTGGACTTATGGTTGTACTTTGTTTCTTTGAGTTTGGAATAAATTTCATCGTTTCTGAGAAAAAAAAAAAAAAAAGGTCATAAAACTAGATAGAAAACATCATAAGCTAGCCATTGTATAGACATGTCCACGGATTCGAACCAAACCAGACCGTCGAATTGGCCTAGCCTGGCTTGTGATTAACGATTTTGGAAGCGGCCTGGACATTTCCACGAATAGCCTGGCCCGTGGTTAACGGTTTTGGAAAAGCCCTGGACTGTTGACCACAGTCCATGAATCGGCCCGCCGTTTGGTTTGAGCCGATTTTGGTTCGAGCTTTTAAAAAATAGCCGCCGATTGGGTGTGTCTTTTCAAATTTTAAAAACAATAAATTTTTTAAAAATATATACTTTTCAGGAATTTTAAAAACAATAATTTTTTTAAAAATATATACTTTTCAGGTTCTGGGCATGCGGTGTTGATAACAAGATGTTACCAAACTAATTAAAACACAAAAATTAAGCTAATTGTGCATATACATTGTTTTAAATAGGTCGGTACGTAGCTCGCTATAAAATGTTGAAATGACAAGCTTTTTTACGCTCTTTTAAACTATTTCATGCTATATTGCGTTATATTTCTGCAACGACATTTAAACAATAAAATATTTAAAAACATGTATTTTTTAGGGATTAGGTTCATATTTTCAAATTACAACTAAAAACTAAAAATTGTTATAATGATTTTAAATTAAAAAATTAAAATTATTATCAAACAGTCAAGTTCTATTATATCATTTTATTTTTCGGTATTTGATATTTATATTAAACAACTAGCATGCACAGCCGACCCACCGTAATTGTATAACATTTTATTCATTATCAATGTTTGTTTTAAAAAAATCATGGACTTTGTGTATATGAAAAACACACATACTAAAAGAAATTTGATCAAACAATCATGTATCTATTAAATAATAACATTGGGCTAACCTACTCTGCATGGTTAATGTTTGACCTTACCCATAGATATTAATGTTCAAATCGTACCTGTAGATTATACTAATATAGAAAAAGGACAAAAAAGTCCTCGAGCCTTCGATATCATAATAAAATCCAATAACTTGCAAAAGGAACATAAAGCTAAATCTTTGTTACACAAGGAATTGAAGATTAAATTATGTTCCTATAAAAACTTTAAAGTACACTTTATGATAAATAGAGCTGAAAAATAGAACTAATATGAAAAAAATTAACTGAATATTGTAAACTTTGTCTAACCCACATATTCCATATATAACACTAATTCTGTCACCAAATTGAAACTACTACACATAAGACTTTAAAGTAAGAATACATAAGAAAGAAAAATACCTAACTCAAAACATACAACCAGATACTTGAAATACATGGATTAAGAACCAGATTTCTGTTTGTGCAGAATTAGTGCTGGTCTATCAATTCCATTAGAATTCTTGACTGCTCCAGTTATATCATATCAGTCACTGCTATAACTTTTCCACCTAGTTCATGTTTGCAGCCCATGATCCAACATTCCAAACCCTTTAATAGCATGTGACAACGTTCAATGATGTAAAAGTTGTAATAGAGAGAAACACAACGAAATATAAGCTTAGTAAGTATCTGGACAAAAATTACTCAAGTAGGAGTAATACTTGGATGGCAAATGTTAGATCCTTTATCAATTTCCCATGGTCAGTGAGTAAGGCTTCTCTCAAATACAACTCCACGCCTAATTGCTGCTTCTCGTCCTAGTGATCCTCCTAGGTCCTATGCATCAAACACAAGCACACAACTTAAAAAGAGTAATAATGAGTTCTATTATTATTTTGCAAAGTTTATCTATCTTATTTTAGGTTTTACATACTGTTGGCTTTCCTATAACAAACTGCAGGTGAATTACCATGAAATTTTGAGCACTCGTCAAGAATCTAAGCCATTGTGTACAATATAGCTAAATATAGCCGATGACCTTTATAATTTAACTAAAACAAAAATCTAATATAAAAGTACAAAACAAAAACAAGCTTTATATTAATACTTTATATTAATAGTATAAACAAGCAAAGTAGAAAGAAACAAAACACAACAGGCAGATATGTGCAATGAAAAATATTCTAAAACGGTAGTATAATTTTGAAAACTTATACATTTTTCATTGTTTTTACCAACCTCAGTTTGCAAGCGGCAAAAGTATGGATGAAAGAGCGTGAACCAACAAAGTGAAGAAGGAATTAAAATATATCCTGAAAACAGTAAAGCAGCAAGCTAATTAAAACAGAACCCGGTAAATAAATTCCGTCTATAAAAAAAATTCAAATATATAAGGAGCGCTTTGAATAAATATGTACATACAATATATTTTTGTAAAATTATAGTTAACAGTCTGGTTATGGTTCTATACATAACAAAATTGATACAAATAAACAAAAAGTAAATGCAATAGCATTTTCTATACATTAAATAGTTTTTTAAAAACAATGCCATCCATATACCCAAACTATTTAGGTACCCTATTAACATTTAAGTAAAGTTTCTTAGCAGGCTACTTTCATTTACTCAAACACAACTGATTATATTCATAAAAGCTTACATAAATATTCGCCAATAAGAGCTACTTATTTGAATAAACCTAATCTCATGTATATCTTTCTTCTAAAGACATTGTGTAGTAGTCGTTTTTTGAAAAAAATTAAACACCAGTAATAAAAAAATCTATACACAAATCCCTCAGTTAATACCTGGTATTCTCCACCAGACCTCGGTACAATAGCAGAAACTTGGATATGGAGAAATAGTAACACTATTACTAAAAATTATGAACAAAACATATGCCATAACCTTTATGTCATTCTTCAAACGAGTTTAAATGTATTGCAAAATAGTAATCCAATAGTATTTATACCTCTACAGCAACAATAATGCATCTAAATAACAAAAATAAACATAAAAGGATGCACACAAAACATTGTTGTAAATGCCAGCGAATTGAAAATGAAAGCTTTTTTTTTTCCTTTCTTGTTATTGTTTAAGGTTTTGAAAGAAGAGAATTGAGAACTAAATAGTTAGAAAATTGAATTTAGAAAAGTAGTATTGAGATAAGTAAAAGTCATTCACAACGAAAACTTATTAAGTTAGTAAAAGCATGAAGGCTATTCGAAAGAGCAAATAAAAAAGAAATGCGTTCTACCAAAGTAAAGGTTGCAAGTCATATATATGTTTCGGCACATGTATAAATTCACAATTATCAGATGAATGATAAATAAAGGATAAAACGTCGAGTCAACATAAAAAAAGGAAACTGATGAGTAAGTATAACCAAAGAACCTATAGAAAGACACTAAGTAGTTATACAACAATTTTTTTTTTTAAATTAATGAATCAGAAACATTATTGTATTACCTGGTATTAAGCAGGAAAACTTTTTACGACGGTCTTTGCACAAACATAAACTAACAACACTTCCATTACCAAATATAAATAGGAAAACCCGTGTCAGAAAGATTACATTTTTTGCCCTTGCAGAAATTTTTATACAGCTATAACATTATTTGCCATCTGGCAGCTAACCAGACAAATTTTTATATTTTTTAACAAAAATGACGAATTGTGATTGACAGGTTGAACAAACAAACAAAATCAAAAGAACCAACATATGAAGAAAAAGTAACACATAAAATGAAAAATGTAGGAAACTACAATTTACATAGTTTAACTCAAGGACATTGGTTGTATATTTCCTAACATAACATACTTGGTGATACACATACACATAACATATGCAAACATAAACACCATGTATTTATCTCATAGACAACCAAAACAATAAATGAAAAAAAAAAACTAAATAATTATACTGTGAAATTTGAACATGAATCATAAGACAAATAGAACCCAATAGGAAAATATTCCCCTAAAAAACTAACAGTAGGCAACAAACAACAAAATTAGAAAGGTGCAACATATTTTTTGGTCGAAGAAAATTCAGAACTCGTATGTATACAAACATAAACACCGTGTACCTATCTCATATATCTAGGCAAGAAGAAATTTAAAAAATCTATATAATTAAACAGTCAACTTTCAACATGAATCATAAGGAAAAAATACCAACAAAATATTATCTAAAAAAGAAGCAGTGTTCATTAAACAACAAAATAACAAAGGTGCAACAAATTTTTAATTATGTGTGCAGAAAATTTTAGAACTATCCTAACCAAAATAGATTAATTGAAAAATAAAAAAGGGACAGAAATCTTACAGCTCTAGCAAAGCAAGATGAACAATGAATAATGTGGATGAAAATGGTGATTTTAGTGGTTTTTATCCTTTGAACAAATATTATAATACCCAAAAAATAACATACAAAATATTGTGGTGTAAAAAAATATACAAAATACTACTACATGATAATTGTTCACTGAAACATCAAATCAACTTTTATCTAGATGTAAATCCACGGCCAAGAATGAAGCAGAAGTAAATTTTTTTTAGAAAAGGCTGTAATGCTGGTAAAATAGGTTCCTACTTTCTAGGGTTAAAATTAAATTAACAAAATAATTATAATGGGTCATTCCTCTGCCCAATTGTATTGTTTAATCTAAGCCCAAAGAAATAGCTAACCCAAATGAAGAAACATATTGCAACACCTAAAATAATTGATTTCTATTAACATGAATTACCTGTATTATTGCAAATTGGAATGATAAATGAAGACGACAATGGCGAAACAACGCAATCGGAAATATTAGAACTTAAATTAAATATGAATTTGAAATAAATTAGGACAAATAATTTATTTTGAAAAAAATGATTGCCTTCGAAGAAGAATTATTGTCCCTCAAGCAAATAAATCAAAATATTGAATAAAGGGCCCGGATTTCACATTCATAGTCCGATGAAGGATTCGCCCGCTGCCGGACTCCACACTTTCGATCAGCTCTTTCAGCTCTCCAATCATCACCTTCTCAGCCTCCTCGGCCTTTTCATCGTCATCATCAACACTGCGTTTCTTCTTATCCTCGATCATAATTTACCTTTTGCCCGCGCCAAGCCTCTTGAAGTAATCCCGTATATGTATTCTAGTGTGTACCCGTTCTCCTCATCAAACAACATGATATGCCCGTGTCACTCCCAAACCGGATAATCAGAACTGATCTCCTCTTGAAACCCCTCGCAGATGTGGTGCTCGTCGATCGTTACCGCCTGGCAGAAATTAAGTTTCAGCTTCTCGATCTCGCTAGAGAGGATAGTGAGGACGATCTCCTTCTCGAGCCGGAATTCTTTTCTGGCGAGCTGGGTTTTCGAGAGGTCGCCATCAGAATCGGTGTCTGAGCCGGATTCAGAGAGGTTGAGGAGAATAATGGATAGGAGGAGGTCTTCGAGGGACTTCCCGGTGGCGAAGAGCAAGGGGGACCTTAGGCTGGGTGGGCGGAGCTGGAGGCGTGACATGAGGAATGCCGGAAATAAGAGGAAATAAGAGGAAATCAATCAAAAAAATATATAAAATATAAAATAATAGAAAAAATACATGTTGTATAACTATTTCAACTCTTTAAAATATATTAGTGTATTTTTATAGATATCTAAAAAGATTTAAATAATTCATTTACGAAATTGAAAAGATATAATATGCAAGTGGCTATATATGTGTCCAATTTATTTTTGTAAAACTATAGTATTTTTCTAATTTAAACTATATAAAAAAGTTATTGTTTATATTAATTATATGATTAAATAATATATAAAGCTAAATAAGCAAAAAATCTTGTTTACACGCATATAAGATAAGAATCTTATTTATTTTGGAGTTGAAGGATTTACACGGTATATAAGAATCTTATTTATTTTGGAGTTGGAGTGGATCGGATTAAGCAAAAATCTTATTTATTAAGTATTTTATTTTAAACAATTAGGAAATATATCCGAATCAAAATCCGAAGCATGTAATGTTGCCAAGCAAGCTTCCGAAGTGTGCGAGGCAACCATTTAGGCTCAGCACACTTTGAAACTATATTAACAGGGGTTAAGAGAATAGATAAATAATGTACATACTTAAAATTAAACTAATTAAAATATACATACTGAAAATTAAACTATGCCTTACCTTATTATATTTTAGTTGTCTGTTATTACTTTTTGGTATATTCACTTTATTATTCAAATATTCATGTTAAGATATTTAGATAAAACATTTGAGAGAAATAATTCTTAAATGTTATTTTTGAATCCATTCAATATTAATGATAAGTTTTGGAATCAACCATTCAGTTTTATTATATATATACATCTATATATATAGTACACATACATATTTCTATAAAAATAATTTTATACACCCAAATAGCTTACGACGCTATTTACGCTACGCAATACAAAGACTAAAACGCGACGCATTATGCTATACGCGTTTTAAAACACTGTGATTATATTAATAGACTGCCTTAGAAAAGAAAGATCAACAATAAGTAGTAATTGAAGGATACAATTATTACAGAATTTATACATGAATAAAGTTGATATGCAATGATTGTCGTTTGCCAGCTCAGGGCGTGAGAGCTTGACACGTGTTTGTGCGCAAGTCACAACTTTTGATGATAGGACCAGTTGAGCGGTTACTTTGCCAGTCACAACTTTTGATGATAGGACCAGTTGAGCGGTTACTTTGCCAGTTTTCGTTCAGATTAGGCTAAGAGATCAGAGGTTGGGATCCAATTAACAGATCGACACTTAGGCCAGAATAACAGATCGGCAGAGAACTCATGGGGTTCTTGGATTCTTGTGAAGGACCTTGGTCTTGAGTTGGCGTAAGCCCAATAGGGACGTTGGCATGGTAGTCTAATCTGGAAAATGGGTTAGTAAAAAATAGATGTATCATATGAAGCCCCCCAGGTTTTTGAGTTACGTGGAGATCGCAAGATCACTAAGTACCTGAAAAACTATTTGTCGATTTCTCCTAAATTCAAATGGCGTCTACGTGTGAGATCGCCTAAAACTATGTGTCGTAAATTCACTATGTACCTGGGAAACATTTTAAATTTAAATTCAAAGACATAGTTTTTGTTACGATGTTTAAATTCAATATGCTGCTCGAGCCTTGCCGCAGGTAATTTTACACTAATTCCTTTTTCGTTGATCCTCCTAACTCATTTTTTTTTAAATACTCCTTTCCCTTTGCTAGACTCTTGTCTTTGTGGTTCCTATCCTCGACGCTGCTCTGGGTGCATGGGCCAACCCCTCTCCGACCTAAAGAAAGAGGTCGAACAGTTGCGTGAGTAGAATAACCGTTGGTCGATATGAACCATGAGCTGACCAAACAGCTAAAAAAGGACTAAGAGCGTCACCACGACGAGTTGGTAGCCAAGGATACTGAGCTCGAATGTGAGATCTCCCGGCGCTGAGAGGATATAAAGAATGTTGGGATCACCGCTGTCGACTGGGCCCGTCAACTGATGTTCACGGCGAGCCTCGGCCAGCGGTTCTTGAAGGCATACCACGAGCAAGTCGTCGCAGACTATAATCAGTACAACGTTCCTGAAATAAGCTCTCCTCTCACCATGGCCTATTACAAGACCAGCTTGGATGAGGCCGAAAAATAGATCGATGGTGCCATTGATTGAAAATCCATTTATGATGCTCTGTCGGAGGTCCCTGAGGGCTTCGAAAGGGATCCTACTCTTCCTACCGACCATGCCTGGTGGACGGGGACTTTAGCTCGAACCCTCACTCGATCCTCTTCATTGGGGAAAGTGTTCGACCTCCCTCAGCCCAACGTTACTCCTGTTGTTCGACTATTCGATATTACAGGGGCCGAAGGCAAGACGAGTTCTCCAAACCAAGTGGACGAACTTAATCCCTTGGACGTCCCTGATCCAATGCTCGCTGCCAACTTGACCACCGCTGAATAGGCCCCTGAAATGCCAAAGTAGACTTGCAATTCCATGTACTTTTATTTTATTTACCTTTTGTTGTAATCCACTATGTTTTCTTTTGAACGAAGTGTTTCTGTTTTCTTTGTGCTGTGATTTTCGACCATTAAGTATTACTTACCTTGAGTTTGAAAATACTTTAAGAGTGCCATGTAAACCATTGAGGTCCTATAACCATAAAGCGTATCCGACTTAACTGAAGAAACGACCACTTTGATTGACCATGATTCAATAATAATTATTAGAATTTATGCCAAGTAAACACCCGACTTTAGTTGACCCGCCACTAGGGTTTACCCTAATCAAACGGGTAAATTTTACACAATGTTACCTTTTTAATCGACCCCCCTCTGAGGTCTTCCCGTTTTGCCTATGATAATTAGACATTTAGGTTAAAACTTGAGTCGATGATTCGACCTATCGCTGAGGTACTCTTACTTGATTGCACCATTGTAGCAACTACAATTATGGTCTTCCCTTTAGTTTTTCGAGAATGATGTGTTGACGTGCACTCCTTCTCCTATTCAAGGTCGATCTCTTACTGGTGTTCGGAGTCGGCCTTGGTTTGGCATATCTCCGCTCGATCACAATCCCACTCGGGGGTTGCTTAAACAAGCTACTACGCTGCTTGAAAGCCTTGATCATGATGGGTTTTGCCTTCAACCCTTGCCCAACACCTCTCTAGGGTCGTTCAAACAAGCGACCACCCAGCTCGAAAGCCTTAGGGCTCACTTGTTTACAAAATAATTCGTCAGAGTTAATTATAAAAAAAAGTAGTATGGTTAGTTGTTAGTGGGATTTTAAAAAATGTATTAAAATAATATTAAAAATAAAATGATTAAAATTAATTTGATTTTAAAGTAGGAGATAAATGATTAGAAATGATAGGTAGTTAAATTATGTGAGTTAAAGTTGAGTAAGACTTTGAGTATGGATTAAATGTGAGTGAAATAATTTATAAACAAGCATGCCCTTAGTCATGGTGAATTTTGCCTTCAACACTTGCCCAACCCACTGGGGTCATTTAAACAAGTGAACACCCAGCTTCAAAGCCTTAGCCATGGTGGATTTTTCCTTGAACACTTGCCCAATCCCCCTCTAGGGTCATTCAAACAAGCAACCACCCAACTCGAAAGCCTTAATTATGGTGCATTTTGCATTGAACACTTGCCTAACCCCCCTCTGGGGGATCGTTCAAACAAACGACCACCCAACTCGAAAACTTTAGTCATGGTGGATTTTTCCTTGAACACTTGCCCAATCCTCATATGGGGTCGTTCAAACAAGTGACCACCTAGCTCAAAAGCCTTAGTCATGGTGGATTTTGCCTTGAACACTTGTCCAACCTCCCTCTGATGTCGTTCAAACAAGTGACTACGTAGCTTGAAAGCCTTGATCATGGTGGATTTTGTCTTGAACACTTGTGCAACCCTCCTCTGGGTCGTTCAAACAAGTGACCACCTAGCTTGAAAGCCTTAGTCAACGTGGAAAATGCCTTGAACACTTGCCTAACCCCTCTCTGGGTTCGTTCAAACAAGTGACCACCCAGCTTGAAAGCCTTAGTCATGGTGGATTTTGCCTTGAACACTTGCCCAACCCCCTCTGGGGTCGTTCCAATAAACGATCACCCAGCTCGAAAGTCTTGATATTTTTCCTTCGACCTCGCACTCGGACCGACCACCCAACTTGGAAGCCTTGATCATGGTGAATATTATGAAAGCCAAATAGCGACCTGCCACTGAGGTCACACACAAGCGTACCAAACATAATAACACAATAACATAGGATAGCATCACATGTTTTCATTAATTTCCATAACTAAAATGAATTACATTGATCCAAAAGAAAAATTTTCACGCATAATATCATTTCAAGATAGCAACATTCCATGAACTGTGTAGTGATATGCCTTCTGAGTCTTTCAACGAGTATGAACCTCCGTCGTGGACCTTATTGACCAAATATGGTCCTTCCCAGTTCGGCTCCAGTTTGCCAACATGTTTCAAAACATCGATCATTTCCCATACCAAGTCGCCGACCTAGAACCTTCGCACCTTGACTCTCCTATCATGGGCTACCCTCATTCTCTGTTTGCATGTCGTTATCCTGGTCGATGCTTTTTTCTTGCAGCTCGTCAATCATATCTAGTGTTGCTCGTACTAACTCTTCATTATGTTCTTGGTTGTATGTGATCGATCTATGGGTGTATAGCTAGATTTCAACTAGTATCAGGGCCTCTATGCCGTATTCCAAGTTAAATATGGTTTCACATGTTATCGGCCTCGGGATGGTCCGGTACGCCCACAAAATAGAAGTGAGTTCATTGACCCATTATCCTGAGACCTTCTTCAATCTGGTCTTCAGGCCAGTTAATATGATCCGGTTTGTCACTTCGACCAGCCCATTAGCCTGAGGGCGTGCCGCCAATGCAAAATGTTGTTCAATCTTCATGTCTTCACACCACACCCTAATTTTTTTTGC